AAGAAAGAGCGAACACATGGATGAACCTTGAGGATATGGTTGAAAAGGACCAATACTGTGTGATGTCTGTGAAGTGTCTGTAGGAGCAGATTATAGACAGCTCGTATAGTGGGTTGCTGTGGGAGGAAGAGGCTTATTGAATGATGTGGGGTGGAGTTACAGGTTTTTATTTTTCGCTAGTCCAAGGGCCTGGGTGTTGTCCCTGATGTTCTTTTTGTTCACTCTGTCACTTGAGACACAGCTCTACTTCCAGCTTTTTCTGTGAGTAATTGGAGGTAAGAATCTCAGATTTTCCTGACTGGGCTGGTTTTGAACCATTGATCCTCAGATTTCAACCTCCTGAGTAGCTAGGATTGGCGGCATGAGCCACTGGCTTCTGGCTGAGGTTTGTAGTTTGCTGTGATGGTAGGGGCAGAGCAAATTGAACAGACACTGACACTGAATATCCTCTAGAAAGTAAGTAGGAGAATTTTGCCATAATAATATCAATAATAATAAAAATCCAACCTCAATCAAATCTGACAGCGGACAAGCTCTTTCTGTAGGTTGTTCAGCCAGCCCATTTCTGTGCGGTAAGATTTGCAGATGGAGACCCAGAAGCCAGGGAGCCAAGTGTGCCAGGGAGCTCCTCGCTGTGTGCCAGGGACACATAGCCTCCAGCTCAGAGCTGGGGCCCAGCAGCAGAACTGGGCCTTCATTTTCCAGCCTAGGTTGTGTAGCCTTGCTGACTGTCATCTGTAATCCACAGAAGAAATTCACATTCTCATCTTCATCCTACTCTTGTTTCTACTTTGGCTGGGTCTTGGCTTCAAGTTAAGCCACACTGTCTTTCTGTATGCACACAGCGTTCTTCGTCTGATAGTTATTCATGTGCTCATAAGGTTTTCCGTAGTGGTGACCGGGTTCTGGGATTCTTGTAGGCTCCCCAGGCTGTTCCCTGTGCTATTTTGAGGATGACACTTAGCCCAGGAGTTCAGGTGATGGCTTGAGTGTGTTGGTGTGGCAGATGCCTCTCAGGCTCTGCCCAGCAGGGGAATCCTGTGCCCCTCTGGGGTGCACGGTCCATGGGGTTTCCTCTATTGCTTTTTCTTTTAACTGTTTCACGTGGTCCCAGGTTAGAGAAAGACAGATGTGCTTTCTTGTCTGTTTCTAAATCTGTGCCTTAATTCAGATAGACTGGTAGAGCTTCTCTGCAAAGGTCACTTGTGAAAGTGGAGCTTTGGGTCGGTCTGTAAGTGATCTTGCATCACGACATCCCAGGGATGATGCTGTGTGATCACAGTCAGGAAATAGCATTGCTGCAGCCGCCATTGACTGTGGAAGGAAGATTGGAAGTGCACGGAAGTTCTTCCCTCCCCTGGTTCTTTGGAACTCTTTGCCTTCAAGTTTCTTTAAATGCCAGTCTGCTAACTGTGCTCCTATCTGTGTTATTTGTAAAGGAAAACAAATAAGCAAACAACCACATCCTTCATTAAAAAAACAAAAAAAGCAAAACATTTCAGTAGGCTCTGGTGGCTCACACCTGTAATCCTAGCTACTCAGGAGGTCAGATCTGAGGATTGAGATTTAGAACCAGCCCAGGTAGGAAAGTTCATGAGACTCTTATATCCAATTAACCACCAAAAAGCTGGAAGTAGAGCTATGGCTCAAGTGGTACAGTGCTAGCCTTGAGTGAAAAAACTAAGGAACTGTACCCAAGCCCTGAGCTGGAGCCTCAGTACTGGCACAAAACAAACTCAAAACTCCAGAAAAACCAAAGGTCACTGTCTCATTAGCTTTGACAAGAAAGACTAATGAGGTGTAATTGTGAGTGAACATTGGCTACAGACTCCATATCTAGTGTGAGTGAAGTTTGTGTATTCATTCAGACATTTGTATCTTCAGTGGTCCAGAAATATGAAAACAGGCTTCAGGTGACAGGACCCCAACATTTTCTGCAGATCTATGGGTGTATTCTGCTTAGGAGAGGAGTCCATAGCTTCAGCTGTAGTAGGAGCTGTAGCAGGGCTGTGCCCTGGAACCTAAGACCTAATTGGAGTAGTGACTTTGATTATTCCAGGTGGCTCTTTAGAACAGAGACAAAGACTTTGCAGTTCTTACAAAGGATGTACCAGCTCTACTCTATTTTAGAAGAAAATGCACCCTTTGTGGATGATGCTAGACTCCCATGAATGTGGGGAAGGGAATTAAGAACATAGATTCTAGCCAGGCTAGAATTACAGGCTCACGCCTGTAATCCTAGCTACTCAGGAGGCTGAGATGTAAGGATGGAGGTTCAAAGCCAGCCCGGGCAGGAAAGTTCATGAGACTCTTATCTCCAGTAAACCACTAGAAAACTGGGAGTGGCACTGTGGCTCAAGCGGTGTAGAGTGCTCGCCTTGAGCTGAAGAACACAGGGACAGCGCCCAAGCCCAGAGTTCAAGCCCCATGACCGACCAAAAAAAAAAAAAAAACATAGATTCTACAGCCAATTTTCCCAGGCTCAATTCCCAGCCCTACCATTGGGTGAGTTGTATACCTTTCAGTAAATTAGATGACTTGTAGTGTTTCAATTGTGCTCATATAAAAAAGGGAGATAGCAGCATTTAGTGAATAGAGTTGTTTATAGGATTAACTGAGATAATGAGCAGCCCTTTTGATTATATGTAGTAGATAGTTGGTGCTTATTAAATACTGCTGGGGGTGGGCACAGTGGAGGGTACCTATCAACCAGGAGTTCTGGCTCACACGCACAGACACCATCTCCAGAAGCGATACTGATTGTTCTAGTGGGCCGGTGGTTGTCCTGAGGACGGTCTATGTTTTTTTCTCAGTTCTGGCCGTTAAATGGTAACTGGATAAGAATATCACATTTCTTTCTTTTTTTCTTTTTCTTTTTTGTCTTTTGCAGTGTACTGCTGTGTTTGCGCCTAGATTTCACTGAGGAAATGTTCAGTTGGAGATTTCCCTTAGAAGATTTTTACTGCAGTGCCATTAGACTAGGGAGGGAAGGCTGCTCTCTTTTGCAGTCATCTCCCATACCGCTAGTAATGGAGTAGCTTGCTTGCTTCTAGTCATTTTGGATGGGAAATATAAATGCTGAAATCTCCATTGTGTTCTGTGAAATTTCCTGCAACTGCAAAGGGATGTGTCCACGTTCTTTGTAGCTTCTAGAAAGCAGGGTGGCGAGGAGTGAAGCAGGGGTCTCGGGGTTGGCTTACTTTGCTGTTTCTCTCTTAGGGGTTTCTTCTGTTGTTTGCTTCCTTCATTTGCTCTTTAAAGTTTTTTAAAATCCTATTGGTAGGTGGCTGTAGTTCCGTGCGTAATGATGAATTATTACCTAGAAGAATAAAAACAACAAAACATATTGGAAAAGTAAGCTGACTAACACCCCCTGTTGCAGTTCTTTAAGTTTTGTTTTCCTTTTTCAGTGCTGGGGATGGAACCAGGGCCTTTCACAGGCTGAGCCTGAGTTCTACTACCCGGGCTGTCCCTGGCCCTACTTCTTTGGTTTTTAAAAGCATCATTTAAACTCAATGCAAATTGTAAGAAGGGATGTATATTCTTTGTAATGCAAGTTCCAAGAAGGAATGGAAACCATCCAATAGAAATCCCTATAAGTAGTTAGAACAGAAAGTGACTGGGTGCCAACAGCAGGTGCAGTGGACCGTGGTGCTGTGTGAGTCACGCTTCTAACAGAGCAGCCGAAGACGTCATCCAAAGGCAGCCAGAGATGGACACGCAGTGTGCTCGCTGCCAGGTTATTTTTATTAAATATGAACCCCCTAGACAAGCAACAGAACTCTTAGGTTGATTGTGACTCACAAATATACTGAAGTCCTAGGTAGTAGTCTAAGGTGGTGTTCTCAGAAACTGTAATAATGGGAGAATAGGTTATGGCTGAGTGGTAAACTTAGTGTACAGTGCAAACCTGTGTAAAAGTGTGAACTCAATTTGTAAAATACTTAAATAAAAACATTAGGAGCAAACACATAAAATGTTAATTGTTCTTTTGGATGGTGAGATATGTCATTTAAATTTTATTGGCATTTTTATCTTCTAAAATCTCTAGCTACCACGTATTTTTTAGATGAAGCAAACCTTTCTTTGTGACACTGAAGCACGTGTTGTTTTTCAAGCAGTTTCATTAAGATGGAATTTAGGTGTCATGTGATTCATTCACTTCTTGAAGACTCCCCTTTGGTGGCTTTTAGTATAGTAGTAAGGGATGTTCTGCCATTGTCAATACCACAGACAATTCTAGAACATTTTCATCACTTCAATGAGAGACCCACATCCTGTGTTCTAGGTTAATCCCTAGTCTACTTGCTGTTCCTGTGTATGTGTCTTTTTCTTTTCTTTTGGGGGTGTGATACTGGGGTTTGACTTAACTACTTGAGCCATGTCTACCAGTCCTTTTTTTTTTTTTTTTTTTTGCTCTATTTGTTTTTCAGATAGCATCTTGCGTTTTTGCCCAGGGGATGGCCTTGAACAACAGTCCTCCAAACTGTGCCTCCCAGTAGCTGGGATTATAGGTGTGAAGCATGTTACCACCATGTCTAGTTTATTTGTTGAGAGGGTATCTTGATAACTTTTTGCTTGGGCTGGCCTTGAACCACAGTCCTCCTGATCTCTGCTTCTAGAGTAGCTGGTACTACAGGCCTGAGTCACTACTTCCAGCCTCGCCTCACCTTACCTCACCTCACCCCACCCTCAACTTCACCTCTACCCCAACCCTACCCCACTCCCACTCTTACCTTGCCTCACCAGGAGGATAGGACCCAGAGCCTCATGCATGCCGGGCAAGAACTCACGCAAAGCTGCATCCCCAACCCCAGCTCTGCCTTCTCTGGGCATTTTATATAAATGGACCCATGTAATGGTGGCCTTTGGGACAGGCCCCTATGACTGAGAGTAAGGGAGCAGATCACTCTGACACTCTATTTTCTCACTTAATTTAGAAACCAAGCTAGCTACATCTATTTGGTGTTCTAATGTGTATTTTCTGTCTCCTAGAGTTGGTTCCATCGATTATGAGCAACTTGCTGAATCCAGATGCCATTTTCTCCAACAATGAGCTGAGCCTGTCAGACATCGAGATCTATGGCTTTGACTACGATTACACGTTGGTGTTCTACTCTAAGCACCTCCACACGCTCATCTTCAATGCTGCTCGGGACCTTCTCATCAATGAGCACCGGGTATGACCTCAGACTTGGGTCGCTCTCCCTACCTTTGCCCCTGAGATATTTGAAGAACAGCAGCCCCATGAAGTCACTTAGAGAATTGTTGCTGAAGAATGAATAGTTTTGTCCCATTTCAAGTGTCTCTTCTTTAGATGTTAGCTGTGTTTAAGCGAATCTTTAGATGTCTCTTTGTTTTTGTTTTGGCAGTACTAGGATTTGAACTCATGGCTTTATGCAGGCCAGGCAGGTACTCTACCACTGTCCCTGAGCTTCTTTTGCTCAAAGCTAGCATTCTACCACTTGAGCCACAGTGCTACTTCCAGCTTTTTCTGTTTATGTGATACTGAGGAATCAAACCCAGGGCTTCATGTATGCTAAGCAAGCAATCTAGCACTAAGCCACATTCTCAGCCCCAACATTTTAATATTTTGCAGTATGATAAGTGTGGTTCTTGAAGAGCCTGGTATGTTCTGGTTCAAAGGAATTCTTCAAATGATGAGCTATGTTTCACCTGCATCCTTGGCTGGATTTGCTTTCTTTTTTTTTGGTCGGCCGTGGGGCTTGAACTCTGGGCCTGGGCGCTATCCCTCAGCTCTTCAGTTCAAGGCGAGCGCTCTACCACTTGAGCTACAGTGCCACCTCCGGTTTTCTGGTGGTTTATTGGAGATAGGAGTCTCACAGTCTCTCCTGCCCGGGCTGGCTTTGAACCGCAATTACAGGCGTGAGCCACCAACGCCCGGCCCAAGGATTTGCTTTCTTATGTAATAGAATATTTGAATATCGGGCTGGGAAGGTGGCTCAGTAGTAGAGCGCTTGCCTTGCATGCCAGAGCCCCTGGGTTCGATTCCTCAGCACCACATAACATAAAAAGAAAAAAGCCGGAAGTGGTGCTGTGGCTCAAGTGGTAGAGCACTAGCCTTGAGCTGAAGAGCTGAGGGACAACACCCAGACCCAGAGTTCAGGCCCCACGACTGGACCCCCCCCCCAAAAAAAAAAAAGAATATTTGAATATCTTCTGATGCATAGTGGTTTTGGAAACTGTTATTGAAGAAGGAACTCCTGAAAACATGTTTCCTCCAGCCTGATATTTTCAGCAGCAGGAGATTGAGAAGCATCTGGAGGCCCATGGGGCTCATGCCCTTTGAGAAGCCCCCTGTCATCCAGTCAGCACGGCTCTGACCTACGCCCCAGACTAGACTCCATTAGGACAGAGTTTGTTCTCATCTCTGCTCTAGTATAGAGCCCCTTAGGACAGGAGTTTGTTCTGATTGTGATGTCAGACAATTCTGCCTCTGTGCAGCTGTCACTATTGCTGTCTTTTCCATATTTGTTTCCTTCTTCATTCATTTTTTAGACCTTGACTCCACAACTCCTTAGAGCCCAGTCTGCTTGTTGACGCAGGGAGGGTAAAGGTCAGGCACCCATTTTAGTTACGCAGCTACCTGGTAGAGGCCCTATGGATGTCTGACATTGCTGAGGAAGCATAGAGGACTGGCAGAACAACTTTGTCTGCCAAGGAATTGGGGAAACTGCGGAGGAGGTGGGATTTCAGCCAGCAGAGGAGGGCTGGGTGGGATGGGGAGAGCAGGTGGGTATGAGTAATCTAGATACCCAAATCATGGAAAATAATGTTTTTACCCTTGACTGATAAATCAGTGGACATACAACAGGTTGGGCCTTTTATAAAGCAGCCATTATGCCCTCCAGGATTTCTTTTCCAGGCTGATCATTCTTGTTACCCTCTCAGTTACCAGTGTCGCCACCCTGGGCACCCTCCTTTGTATATGCTCTGCTTCTAATCCCTCAGCCTCTACCCTCCTCCAGGAAGGACTCAACAAGTATGGAACAGAGGGAGATGTTCAGGATACCATATTCTATACCCTGGTTCATACTCATAGGAATACAGTCACAGGATTCCACTAGTTTGGGATCCTACCATTTGATTATGTATTTCCTTCCTTCTTTCCTTCCTTCCTTCCTTTCTTCCTTCCTCCCTCCCTTCCTCCCTTCCTTCCTTCCTTCCTTCCTTTTTTTGTCAGTTGTGGGGCTTGAACTCAGGTCCTGGGTACTGTTCAGCCTTAGGCTAGTGCTCTACCAGTTTGAGCCACAGTGTTACTTCCGGTTTTCTGGTGGAAATTGGAAATAAGTCTCATGAACTTTCCTGCCTGGGCTGGCTTTGAACCATGATCCTCAGATCTCAGCTTCCTGAGTAGCTAGGATGACAGGTGTGAACCACTGGCACCAGGCTTGATTATGTATTTTCTGATCCTCACTCTTTGTCAGCAGATTTAAGCAGCTCCTTCTGTCCTAGTTCAAAATGCAGAAATATCTGGGGGGAAAATGCCTGTTCCTTTTTGTCGTGAAGCCAAAGACAGCTTTCTTTTGTTAAGGCCACCTTGCCAACTGCATTTCTCTGTTTAGTCAAGAAACTCTTCTCCATCTAAAGCACAGTCTGGACAGGGGAGATAGATGCTGAATAAGCAGGTAGATCTTTGCTTGCTTTCCAGCTGTGCCCTGTATCATCCATCTACCCTGCACTGTGGAGGGCTGCCGTGTCCCTGTGTGCTGGAGTAGCACACTCTGATTTCTGTGTCATTTAAGAAATGCAGCTCTTTTCATGGATGGGCTTCTAGCTTCCCAAAGCACAGGTTCTCCATCCTGACTGCTGGGTTCAAATCCTGTTTTCATCACTGACTTCCTGTGCAGTCGGATTAACTCACAAGTCCTCTGAGCCTCAGTTTCCTCTTCTGTAAAGTGGACCTCATGACAGTGGGGTCATTAGATTAAATGTACACAGAGCACCTGGCATGTAGAAAACACTCAGGAAGTATTCTCTAGTACTAATACCGTTACTGCAGTCTTCTTGAGAGCCCTGGATAGACAAGCTGCCTCTGTTGTAGGTTTGAGGAAAGAGCCTCAGTGACTCAGGCTGTTAACTCAGGATGAATGCCACCAGGAGACAACCAGGATTTAAATTCAGGTCTCTCTGTACCCCAGGGACTTAAATGCTCTCCTCAATCCACACTGCCCCTCAGGGTTAATACCTTTCTATCATGGGTAGTTTTGTTCGGATGAAAATAAAATATTCATGAAAATGAAAAATACATGAACATAAAGCATTTATGCATTTGGGGGCGGGAGATGAAACAGATGGGTGACATAAAAGGTGGGGTCCTGATCGATAAGCCTGTAGATACAGCCATTGAAACTCCATCCTCATTATGTCATATTTGTGGCTCTGATAAAAGAAATGCTATAACACCAATTACCTCGGGCATATTAATAGAGCCAGTTATGCTTATGCAGATTTTCCTCGTTCCAATCAAACAACACAGTGCTTCAAAGAAGCACAGAGTTCCGTGCCATTCTCCCTGCCAAGACTCAGTGTGCTTTGTGTTCTGATAGTAAGGGGAGCACTCTGCTCTTGAGATGCACACCAACGGAACAACACATTCCACAGCTTCACATCTCTCTAAAAAGCAAATGAAGAGGTTCAGCCCCTTCATAATTACCCCTTTTTTAAAAAGCAAGGGCATATTATCAAAAGTAGGCATAAAAATTGGGTAACCTGGCACTGTTGATTCACTTCTGTAATCCTAGCTACTCAGGATGCAGAGATTAGGAAAATTATGGTTCAAGGTCAACCTAGGCAAAGAGTTTGGAGAGCCCATCTCAACCTTAGGTATGATGATACTCACCTGTTAGCCCAGCTGTGTAGGAAGCATAAATAGGTTTGCCTTCCAGGTTTGTCCAGATGTAAATGAGAGAGATCTTTTTTCAACAAGAAGGGCCAAGAGTGTGGCGGCTCAGTAGTAGAGCACCTGCCTGGATGTTCAAGCATAAGGCTCTGAGTTTAGTTCCCAATATTGCCATAAGCTAAAATAAAGTGAGCCTTTAAAACACTCTTGTGCTCAGAATCTCCTCAGACCTTCCCGTTGCATTTGGACTATTACTGTTTTTCTCAGACGGTGGTGGGGCAGTTAGTACAGGGATTGAACTCAGGGCCTTATGCTTCCTAGGCAGACTACTCTTAACATTGAGCCACTCCTCCGGCTCCCATTGGAATGAAAGCCTTCTAGTGTCACCTCTGTCCCCAGCTTCCTCTTCAGCCTCCTCTCCCCACACCTGCTCTCTCTCCCTCTGCTCCCACAGGCTCCTTCCTACCTTTGAACTTCGCTTTCTTCTCTTCTTCTTGGCCCACCCTTCCTGTCCCCAGCTAGCCTGGGCTTGCTGGTCCCCCCTGCTCAGATCTGACCTTACTACTGTGTTTTCTTTATAGTGTATCTGGAGAGGCTCTGTGCTCATGGGGTGCGTCCCTATGGTGGAGTGGTACTTCTGAGATGCAGAAATTTTTGTCCATTTGGTTTCCTGGCTCTGACACTGTGCTTGACACAAAGTACATACTGGATAAATGCTTGATGTATACACATCTCTGAATTCCTCAGGGAAGTGAGAGCCTTGAGCTCCACCTGGGACTAGCTCTCCATTGAAATCCTTTTATTTAAAACTTCCTGTTTTGTGTGGATTTCAGAGAGCTTTATGTTTCAGTTTTCTGCCCTGCCCCAATTAGACTCATAATCCAGCCTACTTTAAATTCTGAACTGAGAACTCCAGAAAACAAATGTACTCAGGTTTCTGGGCCTCAGAAACCTGGACAGTGTTGTGATATATCTGGAGACCTGCAGTTAGCCAGGAAAGAGGAATAGCCTTCTAGGTCAGGTCTGGGAAGTACCTGTAACTGTGGCTCCTTTAAGTAAGCTTGTTGAACCCCTCCCTCCTGCCCGCTGTTCCAGTCGCTGAAGGTACTGTCTCCTGTATGAGGTCCCAGTTAGTCAAGAATTGGTTAATTCCCAGCACCAGTGACTCATGTCTGTATTCTTAGCTACTCAGGAGACAAAGATCTGAGGATCACAGTTCAAAGCCAGCCTGGGCAGAAAAGTCCTCATGACTCCATCTCCAATTAACCACACACACAAAAAAGGCCTGGCTGAAGGTGAGGCTCTTACATGGTAGAGTGCCAGAAGAATTGAATTGAGGGACCAGCCCTACACTAAGCAAAAGGAAAGAAATGTACATATCACCTGATGTGGAAGAAATAGTTGTATTGTCAAAGCTCATAGAATTCACAAACTTTATAGACCACGATAATAACAATTTGTCTTGTGAAGGCTAAAATGTGTTGGTGACTTTAAGTATCACTATTCCACAATACTGTGAAATTTGTGAAATTTATGTAATCACTTTATCTCAATAAAAAATTATAAAAATGGGAGGGGGAGGCTGGGAAGGGATGTGAAGGGTAAACAAAGGAGGAGGCTGCAATGCTTGGTAAGAAATGTATGCATTATCCTGCCCATGTAATTGTAACCCCTCTGTACAGTATGTTCACAAATAAAATAAAATAAAATTAAAACAAATTATAAAAAAAAGCCTGGCTGGAGGTGAGGCTCACATGGTAGAGTACCAGAAGAATTGAATTGATTATGGGGTTAGGATTTGAACTGGTTGTGACACAGACTGTGGTTCAAATATTGGCAAAATTGTGGTGTAGCTTTCTGACCTTGGGCATTGTCCTTGAACCTGATCCTCATATTATTCAACAGTAAAATAGTCATGGATTACCCTGCCTCCTTCATGTTGGTGTAGCAAAGGAAAAGCAAACGTCACAGCAAAGACCTGGTCTAGTGTGTGGTATGGAGCAGAAAATTCCTGGTCTGGAGCTCGATAATTTTTTGGTAGTACTGGAGTTTGAACTTAGGATTTTATGCTTGCTAGGCAGGCTCTCTACTACTTCAGCCATGTTCTCAGTCCTTTTGCTTTAATTCTTGTTATTTTTATTTTACTTTATTTCTTTTGGCATTGTCCTGAGGCTTAAACCTCAGCCTGGGGTGCTGTTCTTGAGTTTTTTTGCTCAAGGCTTGTGTTCCATCACTTGAGCCACAATTCCACTTCCTGCTTTTTTATTGGTGGTTAATTGGAGATAAGAAGCTCCTGGACTTTCCTACCCTGGCTGGCCTGGAACTGTTGATCTTCAGATCTCTGCCTCCTGAGTAGCTAGGATTACAGGTGGGAGCCACCTGCCCCTGGCACTTTTATTAGATTTACCTTTATGTTAGGGCCTGTCCTCAGATTGCAATTCTCCTTCCTTTTCTCTCTTGTAGCTAGGAGTATAGGTGCATACCACCATACCCAGCCACTGGTTGAGATGGGAGTTTCAGGAAGTTTCTACTCCAGCTGGACTTGAACTGTGATCGTCCCCTTCTCTGCCTTCCAAGTAGCTGGATAACAGATGTGAGCCACCAAGGCCTTTTAATACCTGGAATCTTATTCCTCTTTCACTCTGTAGTTGAAAAGGAGTTTTCAGAGGTGCTGAAGCTCCTAGCTTCAGTGAGCAGGGCTGGGCCATCATTGCTGGGCTCCGTGTGGGCTGTGGTAAGCCTGTGGATGAGGATGCAGAACTGTACATGGTGTTCAGAATTCTTGGAAACGCCCACGAGTGGAAATATTAGTTTGGTGATTTCTTGGCACACATGGCAAGTGTTAGATAAATGAGCTGAAGTGTGACATTTGGAGCTAGTGGTTTGTGCAGCTTGACATGCAAACTTGCTGTGTAGGTTCAGCCTCATGGCTGAAAATTGTCCTCCTTCACATGTCCCTGGTTGAGGAGAGGAAGCAGCGCAGCCCAGGAGACTTGGAGACATTTCCGAGGGGTCTTGGTGGTCCTCTAAGTTTCGCTTCTGCAGTTTATACCTGGATGTAAGTTGTTGATCTCAGGAATAGCTATTTTATTTGAGCCAGACTCCGTGACCACCTGCCCCCCCACCTGGGTGGTCCATGGTGCCCCTGATGTTTCCCTCTAAAGAATGGGGAGAGCCAGGCCTGCCCATGGTAGCACACAGATGCTGCCTGGCAAGGCTCTTGGCAGGGAAGCTGCAATCCAGTTCTGAGACTTGGTTGGGAGGGAGGCACTTGGATTCCTGGCACAGTTGAAAAGGAGGGCCGGCACTTTTGCAACGTGTCAGCACCTCTTACATGCTTAGCCAGATAAATAGGGCCCAGGGCAGGGTGGAGGGCTCTGTGGACCAGAAGCTATGATCCGCTCCTGTAGACGCCACCTTCTAAACTAAGAAGAGCATCTGTACTACCCGGGCCTAAAGCCAGCTGTGTTTCTCTTTCTTAGTACCCCGTGGAAATCCGGAAGTATGAATATGACCCAGATTTTGCAATCCGTGGGCTGCATTATGATGTCCAGAGGGTAGGTCCACTCACATGCTTTCTCCCGTGTCAAGGTGTTTGGCAGTAGAAATGATGCTTAAAACGAGATGACTTTGTGGTGCTGTTTCTTGATGAAGCGAAGCACATGGGAAATGATGTTCTTTGTGACTGCAGAACCAAAGTATTCAAATATATGTGGATGAAACATTTAAGGCTTGCGTGCACACAGCCATTTGGGAGTGATGCTTGTCGCCCACAGTCATTTTTGGAACTGGGAGGAGGAGCCAGTAGCTATATCTGTTTTCATTTTTTTTTTCTTTTTGCTGGTAGACCATTTCCTTAAAAAGCCCTTGGCTTTCAGAAATGGTGCCTCTTGTCAATTAACAATGATAGGCTTTAAATGACTCCAGATTGCTCATTTCATGTGCAGATTGGTGTGCATTATTTACACGTGCATATGTTTATATTTTTAAAGGCGATATTGATGAAGATTGATGCTTTTCATTACATCCAGCTGGGCACAGTTTACAGGTAAGCAGAGGTGATCAGTTGAATTCACCCAAGTAACCAAGGTGCTTTCGTTTCAGGGATGAGCCGAGCTGCAGTGTGTGAACTGAGGCTCATTCACTTATTCATTCATTCTTTCACTCAAGAACATGTTTAGAGGCCTCGTTCCTGCTGAGGACTTGGCCTCTGGGGACTTGCGCAGGGGACTCATAGGAAGCCTCCCGAGAGCAAGACTGTAGCCCAGTGTGACCCAGGTGTTGGTGGAACCTGCTCAGGCCACTGGGGAGTCCTGGGCGGACTCTGGAGGGGAGCAGCTTTCTGGAGCAGGGGCGGGTGAGCTGAGGGTCCTGGGGAGAGTGTTTGTCCGGGGAATGGAGCACCGGTCTCAATCTGGTTGAGTGGCAAGGATATGAAGACCTTTCCTGGCCTGTTTATTAGCATGTGAAGACCTTTGCTTAGCGAGATGTCTTTGTAATTTATTTTTACCTTTTCTAATTTTAATTTGAAAGGGGATTTGAGAGTGTAATTTAGGTCTACATTTATTTCCTATACCTTAAACAATTACGTGTAAAAAGTGTGCATAGTTTAGCCTAGATTTTTCTCTTACAAACTCTTCGTAAGAACTGTTCTTTTGTGTGTGTGTGTGTGTGTGTGTGTGTGTGTGTGTGTGTGTTGGTCAGGGGGTTTGAACTCTGGGCCTGAACGCTGCTCAGCTCTTCAGCTCCAGGCCAGCGCTCTACCGCTTGAACCCCTGAGCCACTTCCGGTTTTCTGAGTGGTTTATTGGAGATGAGAGTGTTATGGAGTTACCTGCCTCGGCTAGCTTTGAACTGCAATCCTCAGATCTCAGCTTGCTGAGCATAACTAGGATTATAGGCGTGAGACACCAGCGCCCAGCTTTTTTTTTTTTAAATTGATGTAAAACACATACTTAGTCAAATAATATTAAAGGTGCTGCAGGGAACAACCACCGCCCTGGGTCCTCTCTTCCTGATCCAAACACATTAAACACTTACTTCATCCTGTTTCTAGGTACTGTGCTTATGCTTCTCTCTCTCTCTCTTTCTCTCTCTCTCTCTCTCTCTCTCTTTCTTTCTTTCTTTTTCTTTGTCGGTCATGGGGGCTGAACTGGGCTTGGGTGCTGTCCCTCAGCTCTTTAGCTCAAGGCTAGCGCTCTACCACTTGAGCCACAGCACCACTTCTGGCTTTTTTTCTGCTTATGTGGTGCTGAGGAATTGAACTTAGGGCCTCATGCACGTGAGGCAAGCACTCTACCACTGAGCCAACTTCCCAGCCCCTTCTATTTCCTAACTGATTAGTACTGGACAGTGTCCCTGATGGGGTAGATGAGGATTTAACTTGCTGACACCCTGATCCTTTCTCCAGCCTCAGTGTTCTACCTTTCCTAAGATCTCAGGATTTGGTTGTCATACCAATACATTATTTACATTGTAACTCTGAAGGTCTTATTCTCTTCAATCCTAAGCCAAGTACTGCCCTGTGATTATTTTCTTTCTTGTATGCTGTGTGGTTTTCTTCGATTTAATATCCTTATGTTCATGTTTTGCATAGGTCCATTTTTTTCCTTATTGTTTCGTCATGCGCCAGGCATTTATTTGTTTTCCACTAATTTATGTGTTCTTTGATAATCTTATCAATTCTCTCCTCCCTACTTCCCCTCTTCTCTCTTCTCTCCTCCCATTCCTTCCTCCCTCCCCTCTCTTCTTCTGCTCCTGATTGGTTTGTTTCCTGGCTTCTATCTCTTCCTGGCTTTACTCTCCTGTTCTTCTGGAGCACATCCTACACTAGTTTCCTAGTGTTACCAATTGAGCCTTTTTCATGGTCTGTAGTGGTTGATCAGTTCTCCTTGATCCTTGTATTTCCCTGTGCTCAGATGAGAGATTTAGATGACTTTTTTGGCATTTGCTGCTTGTTCTCCAGTGTTTTGTCCAGGATATACCCTGGTGATTTAAAGCCTGTGAATTGAACTCTGGGCAGAGGTGTTTACATCTGTTCTCTTAACCTCTACTATTCTTATCACCCAACAATGGACTAGGTACAATGTTTGTTTCCTTTCTGGCAGGTACTAGGGTTTGGACTCTGTACCTAGTAATTGTTCAGCTGGCACTCTAGTACTTGAACCCTGATTTTTTTGCTGGTTAGTTGGAGGTAGAGTCTTAGAGACTTTTCTGCTCAGGCTGGCCTTGAATCACAGTCCTTGAGATCTCATCCTCCTTTGTAGCTCAGTTTACAGGCATGAGCCATTGATAGTCATCTAGTGGGTTTTGTTTTGAGCTGCAGCGTTTCAAACATGGTGGAGCTGTCCTCATGCCTGCCCAGATTTCAGTTTGCTCTCCATCTGTGGGAACAGCCTTGGGACAGGGGGGGAGTGAATGTGGGTTCTTCTGACTGCAGTTCATGGACCTCGCCAGTTCTTCTGTGCTGACATTTGGTCACTTGAACCTTAAGCATGCAGCCCATGCAATCATGCACCTGCACAGCTTTGCAGCAGTGCTGGCCATGAAGATTAGGGCCAGGTCTTGTGATGGGGGTAGCAGCAAATCCCTTCCTGCTTATGTTCTGAGTGTAAGAGCTCTGGCACTGTGGATGCCTTCCTGCTACTACTTAGTGAGAGCTGTTGTCCATTGTCTAGAATGAGCTGGTTTGCCACTCAGGTCTTACCTGATTGCTGGAGCAAAGCTAAAAGAAGCATAGTTCTTCATTTGTTGTCTAAGACCAGCAGTAACAAGTCAGTCAGGATCCCAGGCAAAATAGCAGCCTTTAACCAAATGTAATTCAGGGCTGCAGATTACAGGTGAGGGATGGAAATGGCCTTTTTTTTTTTTTAATGTTACATAAGACAGTATGCACTTTGTGGTTGATGTTTCTTCGTGTAGGGTGTATGTGTGGGGGGTGCTAAGCAGCTTGTTATGTTAATTGGTCATGAACTTCCTATTGTGCCTCTCTGTGATGCAGTGGTGTCTGTCACCTGCTTATGTTGCTGGTGACAGGCGGGAGTGAAATGCAGTCACCGTCCTCAGAAGTTTCTCTGTAGGCAGAGGACCCAGACTCATCTGCAAATCCCAGGGGCAGGCAGATGGAAACAAAAGCGGCCCACCCCCACCCCGCGTCGTGAGGCCTGAACTCTGGGCCTGGGCACTGTCCCTCAGCTCTTCAGCTGTCGACTAGCGCTCTACCACTTGAGCCTCAGTCCCACTTCCTGCTTTTTCTGCTTATGTGGTGGTGAAGAATCGAACCCAGGGCCTCATGCATGCAAGGCAAGCACTCTACCATCGAGCCACCTTCCCACCCCCTAAAAAAAACATTGAAAAAGAAACACCAATTCTAACATAAGCCTCTAGTAAACCTTGTACTGTATCTTAGTGGTTTGTGAACCTGGGCTCCAGAGCCAAGAGAAGCCTTGTTTTTTTTTTTTTTCTTTTTAAAAAAAATTTTTATTGTGAAAATACTGTACAGAGGGGTTACAATCACATGAGCAAGGTAATGAGTACATTTCTTATCAAGCATTGTTGCCTCCTCCTTTGTTTTCCCCCTACCATCCCTTCCCTCCCATCTCCACAGCTACATCCCCTGCTGCCCCCGCCTAAATTGTAAAGTTTGTTTTTCGACATAGTGTTTTGTACATCTCATTGTTGCAATGGGTCAACCTGTATTCCTATTTAAACAATTTGTTTTTTTCCTTCTGCTCCCCAAATTATATTAACATCAAATACAATGAAAACAGGAGTTATACTGTAGGGGAGGGACATGCAAAGCAACAACCACAACAACAAAAAATGTGGTACCTTATAAATACGTTAGAAACAATAGCAAGAAAGAAAAAAACACTTGTATCTCTATCTTGGGGTTCATTTCGTTTAACATAATCTTATCTGTCCTTTTCTGTTTGTCTCAGACATATACTAGTTATTGCAAATAAAGGAAATCATGGAACCTATGTTTCTTTGCGTCTGGCTTACTTCACTTAATATAAGTTTTTCCAAGTCTTTCCATTTCCTAACAAATGGAAGCCTTGTTTTTTTTTTATCCTGACCTTGACTGTGCCTCAGTTGTTCATCTAGGAAATGGAAAGAATACTGACTAGGATGGTTGAGAAGCATGCCAGTAACTTGGTTCTTCATGTTTTGTGTGCACGTGGTAGGGGTCATGTGACATTACATATTAGTCCCAGTGGGGCAGTCGTTGTAGTCACAGTAGGAACACTGTTCCCCGTGTTGGAAGCTGTTGTTGTGGCACAGGTCACTGCCTGGTGACAACGGTGTCCCCTGCCCAGTACTGGCCGGAGGTTGGAGGTTCTTACTCTCTTGTGTGATTTTTCCAGAGGCCTCAGTGTGGTCCCCGATGAGGAAGTCATCGAGATGTACGAGGGGTCTCACGTGCCCTTGGAGCAGATGAGTGACTTCTACGGGAAGGTGATGAAAAGTTGCTGTACCTAAGCATCCGGGCTGCCCTCTCTTCCTGACTTTGTCTTTGTGACCAGATAACTGGGACAGCAATGTGAGGGAGGAGGAGAGGTTTATTTGTGTTCCATGGTTTCTGAGGTTTCAGTCCATGGACACTTGGCCTTGGGGCCTTGGGGCCAACATCATGGGGAGTCGAGCATCATGGCAGGATGGCGTAGTGGAGCCAACCTCCTGGTCTCATGGTGACCAGAAAGAGAGAAGGGAAGGGCCTAGGGCCCAGATAAGCCCTTCAGGGCACACCGGAGTGACCTTCCTCCAGCCAGGCCCTACCTCCTGGTGGCCCATTCAGCTGTGAACTCATCAAGGTGTTCATTAAATTGGTGTCCTTAGGATCCAGTCACGTCTCAGTAGTGCCAACAACCAGGCCCCAAGCTTGCAACCTAGGAACCATTTGGGAGGGACACGTCAAATGAGAAGCTTGGCCTTTTAGTTGTAGGAATTGAATGAGCAGTTGACATTAGTGTGTTAAAGGGCCACCCCTGGGTTCCTTTAGATTCATCCTACCTGGTTCTTTCCACCTTCTCATGCTTCTCCTGTTTCCCCCATACTTCCCTTCAAGTGCCTCCCAACAGGCTCGATGTCACTGGGGATTCCCAGTGTAGCAGCCGTGGCTGCCTCAGAGGCTAATGGGAAACCCATTTTCCTGACTCCTGTGGACCCCGCAGGGAGAGGGGGAAGGGAAGGGGAAGGCTCAGATTTCTCCCAGTTTCCCCTAGAACTGGACACCAAGTCCTGCTGAGGTTCGGAACCAGGCGAGCACTGCTTTGCTGCTGGCCTCTGCCTGTGGTTGGGGAGGAAGACTCACTGGCCACTAGGACCCCTGGCCATCAGGAAGTCTTCTGTCCAGGTTCTGTCCAGTCCAGCCTCCGTTTCTAAACCTTGCTTCCTGTGTGCAGAGCTCTCACGGGAACACTATGAAGCAGTTCATGGACATCTTCTCCCTGCCCGAGATGACCCTGCTGTCCTGCGTGAATGAACACTTCCTGAAGAACAACATCGACTATGAGCCCGTGCACCTGTACAAAGATGTCAAGGTTGTGTGGGACGGACAAGGATGGGGGCCAGGAACATGATGCTGTGTTCTTGCGGGGCTCCGAGGAGGCAGCGGTGTGCAGCCCTGCCTTGGGGCTGGGGTTCACATGCTCTCTCTCTGAGATTGCTTTCATTTATAGTGAAACCCTCAAAACTGTAACAACTGTGTTGCTAAACCCATCGTTTTTTTTTTTTCCCCTAAGATGGGGCTCACTCAGTTGGCTGGATTTCTAATCATTCTTGTCTAAAATCCCAGGACATCTGGTGTAAGGGGCAGCCTGTACCCCACTCACCCCAAGCCTGCCCCAGGGAGGGTATCACCCTTCCATGTCCACATACCCACCGTGGGTCTGTGCTGCTGGTGCAGCCCAGGGGTGGGGCTTTGTAGACTTCGTTTTAGTTGACGTGCTATAATTGTACCTGTTCATGGGTGCAGTGTGATGTTTTGGTGCACACTGTACCCATAGTGATGAGTAGGATGGAGAGAGATTGGTGTGTGAGGCCCCTCTGTCTCTTACAAAGCTCCCACCAGTGCTCTGAGGTCCTGCATAGGCTAGGTTCTCTTGAGGGACAGACAGGGACCTTCGGAAGCCTATGCAGGCAGCGGTTATAGGTTCATAGAGCCGTGGCCGTGTGTGTATGCAGTTACCTGCATCTGTTAGCCTGTGTCAGCTCTCTCAGTACTTAAATGTGTTTATGTGATACGTATTTGTAGGTAATATATAACATTAAATATAAATAAATAACTACTCATGTATTTATATATACTACGTATGTAGTTAAAACATTTAAATGTTTTACATTTCAAAATACTTTTTGTCTTGTGTATGACTACTTTAAGATTTTGACCCTCCCACATTAGGAGTTTTGGGGAGATGAAAGATGAAATAAGTTTCTCAGTATCAGTATGACCATATTGATTAAAAAATTTTTTTAGGAGTGGGAAGGTGGCTCAGTGGTAGAGCGCTTGCCTTGCATGCATGAGGCCCTGGGTTCGATTCCTCAGCACCACATAAGCAAAAAGAAAAAAAAAGCCGGAAGTGGCGCTGTGGCTCAAGTGAAGAGCTGAGGGACAGCGCGTAGGCCCAGAGTTCAAGCCCCATGACCGGACCCAAAAAAAAAAATTTTTTTTAAATTTTTTAATTTGAGCTATACTGAAATACTTAGCCTCTCCCCCTGTCTCCCTCTCTCCTTCTCTCTCCCTCTCTCCTTCTCTCCTTCTCTTCCTCTTCAGTGTCAGTCCTGGGGCTTGAATTCAGGGCATGGGTGCTTTCCTGAGCTTTTTCTTTTTCTCTAAAGGCTATCTCTCTACCACTTGAGCCACAGCTCCACTTGTAGCTTTTTCTGAGTAGTTTATTGGAGATAAGAATTTCGTGGACTTTCTTGCCTGAGCTGGCTTTGAACAGCGATCCTCAGAGCTTAGGCTCCTGTGTAGCTAGGATTATAGCATGACCCACCAGCATCCAGGCTCTCTTCTCCTTTTTGTGTACACACAGGCACTTTGTTTTTATAAGTCACATGTGACTAGGCTTTGCATTGACAGGGAAAGGCGTTTACTGGAGAGCTGAGTTTTTAATTACAAGAATCACTACCTCCACTAGCAAACACGGGAGCTTGCTATGTCCCAGGCACAGTTCTGAGTGCTTTACACATGAATTCACTAAGTCCTCATAGTAATGCCTGGAGGTCAGGTAGTAGTATCATAACTCATTCCAGGTGAGGGCATTGAGGCACAGAGAGCTTGAGTAACCTGCCCATCATCACATAGCTAGTAATAGCAAAGGCTAAGTTTTTTTTTTTTTTGTCGGTCGTGGGGCTTGAACTCTGGGCCTGGGCGCTGTCCCTCAGCTCTTCAGCTCAAGGCAAGCGCTCTACCACTTGAGCTACAGCGCCACTTCCGGTTTTCTGGTGGTTTATTGGAGATAGGAGTCTCACGGTCTTTCCTGCCCGGGCTGGCTTTGAACCACGATCCTCAGATCTCAGCCTCCTGAGTAGCTAGGATTACAGGCGTGAGCCACCAGCGCCTGGCGCAAAGCCTAAGTTTTAAGCCTGGCAGTCTGCCTTGCATTTAACCATTGCCTTTTGTTGCCAGTGTGAAAAAACAGGCTTATGCTGAAAGATAAATTGAAGTTAGGTTGCGACCCCGAAGTGCGCACACACACACACACACACACACGCGCGCACACACATGCACACACACACACACACACACACACACACACACGAGAGATTGAGAGAGAGAGAGATTGAGAGAGAGAGAGAGAGAGCATGCGCGCCTGGGGCTTGAACTCAGGGTCTGAGTGCTGTCCCTGAGCTTCTTGTGCTCAAGGCTAGCACTCTACTACTCAAGCCCTAGCACCACTTTTGGCTCTTTTGGTAGTTTAGTGGAGATCAGAGTCTACCAGACTTTGCTGCCTGGTATGGCTTCAAACCATGATCCTCAGATCTCAGCCTCTTGAGTAGCTAGGATTGCAGTGGGAGCCACCAGTGCCCCAGTCAGAAGTGCCCACTCTTGATGGAAATTTCCTACTTACCAGCAGGGATAGACTTAGTCATAGCTGGTCCCCAGCCCGGTCCCTTGCTTTGACTTCTAGGAGGGTGACCTATGCAGAGGTCCTGACCAGTGTTCCCCAGCAATGGCTGTGAGGTTGCATTGATACCTGCCATGCATCAAGCTGCCACACACTTGACCTACAAAGAGTTAACCTCCTCTTCCTCTCCCTGCTCCTGTGTGCCATCAGATCCTGTCCCTGCCCGGTTGATGGAGTCCTTGACAAGTTTCTTGGTAGCACCAGGGAGAGGGGAGGAGCCTGTTGTCCCTAGTCTCTGTCTTGCATTTGGGTCACAGAATTGCTGTTGGATACAGGGATGAGGGAAAGCAGAAACCCCTTTGTTCAGATCCCCTGATGCCTTTCACTCACGATGCTGCATGTAAATGACTGTTTATTGGGTGGGATTTACATTACCTCTTGCCTGTGAGACTGGAAAACTGCCTTAGGACCTATCACTGTCACCATGGAAACTTCAGCTTTTCCTATGGGGCCATGGGTGGTCAGTGGGCCAGGATTTAGATTCTGTTGTGCTTGGATTGCCAGACTTCCAAGACAGAGTTAGCACCAATGTCCTTTCCCTTGCGGTGCTCGGCTACCTGTTTCTCCTTCACTGATGAAATCATGGGTCTTTGGACAGGATTCAATTCGAGACGTTCACATCAAAGGGATCATGTACAGAGCGATCGAAGCTGACATCGGTATGTTCCCTATAGCATGCCGCCCTTGAGCCATGGCGAGGGTGTATTCTGCATCCTGGGGCTGAGCGGGGTTGTGTGGGGGCTGGGGAGGGTTATACAGGGCTGTGTACATCTCTCCTGAGTGCTGTGCAAGGACCCAGATCATGGCGCCACACACGTCTCCTTGTTATCTCAGAACCTGATGTCACTTTAACCCAGGAGGAGGGGGGCCCTGTATCAGCTTTTCCCACCTCAACCGAGGGGCTGGGCTTTAGTTTCTGATGGCTGGCTCCCACATTCCACCCTGAACCAAGTTTACTTAAGACTTTCCTTCCCACTGGGCCCAGGTGCCTCATTTAATATGTATCGCCGAGTGGCCGACCTGCTGCTGAACCTGTGTGGGTTTTTCTTCTGTCCTTAGAAAAGTACATCTGCTATGCCGAGCAGACCCGCGCAGTGTTGGCCAAACTGGCTGACCACGGGAAGAAGATGTTCCTTATCACCAACAGCCCCAGCAGCTTTGTGTGAGTCCACCTGCGTTTCCTTGCCCAGTCCTACCTGCTTCCTGTCTGCCGTATCTTGTAGCAGTTGGAAAAAAGTAGTTACAAAAGGCATTCAGTCCTTTCATTTTCAAACTAACCTGGTTGACTTCTTGTTGTAGGGACAAAGGGATGCGCTACATCGTTGGGAAAGACTGGAGGGACCTATTCGATGTGGTCATAGTTCAGGCTGAGAAGCCAAACTTCTTTAATGATAAGCGGAGGTGAGTGTCCGACCTGTTTGGGGCCTCGATTTCATTCTTTTGGTGTCCCAAATACTTGCAGCATGCCCTGGTGAAGTCCAATTGCAAAACCCTAAACCTCTGACATGGTCGTTTCTGACTTGTAACCTTTTCAGTCACTGATTGCAGAGTCTGGGACTGGCACAGAGCAGACAGCTTGCGTGGTTGAAGTGATTTTTCATTTCCACTCTGGTGACCTCTGACCTGTGAATCAGGCTTTAAGAAAATGATGGACAGTAGCAAAAATTGAATATTTAATATCACATAGCAAAATAGGTCTGTGTCTGTGGAGTATTGTAAAGCATGAGAAAATGATTCCAATGCCAGGCATGGTGGTGCATGCCTATAATCTCAGAAGGCTGAGAAAGGAGGATTGCCAGTTTGAGGCCAGCCTAGGCTTCATGGTGTGTTTCAACAACAACAAAAGAAAGCAGTAATAACGGATTGTCTGGTGGGTATCTCTGTGCATTTGAAATTGCAGTTGGATTTTGTGAAACGTTTTTGCAACAGGGCTTGCATCAGGTGGGATGAATCTCCATGAGTCTTATGCAATGTCTCTGGGCTGCGGTAGCTTTGGGACAGGGAAAGGTGAGTGTTGGGTTGTGACAGTGAGGGGCTGGGCTGTTAGTATTGAGTGGGTGGAGGTGAGCACTAATGCTTCTTTTAGTCTGGGGTCACACCAGCTGCTCCCATCCCAAAAGGTCCTCATGTGTTAGAGCCCTACACTGGGCTCTCAAAATAGCTCATGTTTATGTAGTGGCCTAGTTTTGAAACACTTTTTATCTAGTCTGTAGTTGGTGACTTTCGTGGGGGTTCAGAGCATCTCAAAGTAGTGACCTGTAGTTAGTGCTCAATGTACTAGTCTAGTCTCTTGTGACTCTAAAATCCAGTCCTCTCCCTCTCCTCCTTCTTCTTCCTTCCTTCCCTCCCTCCCCCACTTCTTCCTTTCTTCCCTCCCTTTCTCCCTCTCTCCCTCCCTCCATTCCTTTCTCTCTCTCTGCATTCCTTTTCAGGATTTGAACTTAGGGTCTCATTCTTTTTAGGCAGGCACTTTGTCCCTTAAGATACCCCCCCCCCACCTCTTTGCTTCTTACATTTTTCAAATAGTGCCCTACATTTTTGTCCAGGGCAGTCTCAGATGGCAATCCTTATTTTTCAACCTCCAGTGTGGCTGGATTATAGGTGCACCACTGTCTCTGATTTGCTCATCTAGCAAGATGGGGTTCTCACTCACTTTTGTCTAGGCTGAACTCGAACTGCAATCCTCCTATTTCTATGTTCTGAGTAGCTTGTTACATTCTGTTTTTCTAATGGGAAAAACAGTCCCCCAAAACATTTTAGAAAAAGAAAGGCAAACAGTCTCTGAGCCCTGTGGTCCGGGGGATGAGGCTTTTGTCTGTTACATGTTATGTTTATGTCTTTCCTGTCATA